CAATCGCTCTATCACCCCTCCTATCATCACACTCATCACCGCATATGTTCCTGAGAACGGAGACAGAGACATAAAGACATGTTTTTGCTGGCCATACAGTACAATAACATAATGGATATTTAGAGAGATGTTTTTCTCGCTGCCACTTTGGTCCTGAAACCCAATTTCTCGCCACGACTGACGGGGTCATATGTGAATAGATAATCTTCTGCCAAAGTACAGACATTTCTAACCATTTTGGTTGGTGTACATTTTTGCTTTGTTTGTGCCCTTCTCACTGATTCTGTTGGAAGGTGATGTACCAAACAGAAATGAGCAATAAGTTAAAAAAAAAAAAAAAAAAAGTTCCTAAGGGTGATGAGCTGTTTCAGGCAGCGCTGGTTCCAGAAGTAAATGTCCGATTCATTTTTGCACAGACAATGTTACATGACTCACAGTTGCAGCACTTCTATGACTTGGATCAGCTCTGTGGTATTAATCATCAGTGAAAAAGATTAACAGCTGTGTTAGAAAATATCTGCTTCTTTGGTTTAACAAAATTGCTACAAGCCTGTGTACATTAAACACTTTGGGGAGGAAGTTAATAACCCTAAAAGTGTATTTCAACAAAGAAATATCCAACTAAATTAATATCCAGTGTGCTGTGTTGTTACGACACACAGCTTTAAATCGTGTAATGTGCTTTACTAACAGTATGTGGAAGTTAAAGATTGCGGTGTTGAGGAAACTGAAGACACATCTGCAACTTAAATGTCTACTTCTGAATTCTAAACTTGAAGAAGACAAATATCAAGTATGGCACATCATTTAAACTGCTGACCAGAGCATAAACTTAAATTACTGCTATATGGGAATGTACAGTAGAATGGGGAAAACACTTTCAGACCCAGCAGCTCCTCTCACTTCACATCTCTATTAAACTCAGAGCCTGAGTTGATCATGTTGACAGAGAGATGCTACTATCAATCACATCTGATCAGACCAAACTCAGTCTTCAAAGAGCAGAGTAGCTTAGCTGTTTGTGAATCTTTAAGCGCTTTTTTCCTCTCTTATTTACTCATGCATAATTAAAACTTTAGAGAAATAGGGCAGTAAATCAGTCTGTGGGGACTTGGCTGGGGAACAAAAGTGTCGCCGGTCCAAGTCCCTGTACGGACCAGTTCACCTCCTGAGCACTGCCAAGGTGCCCTGTACAATGGCTGACCCTGTTCTGCCTCTCTCATTTAATGCATGTGTGTGTGGCGTGTGCATGAAAGAGGGAAAGGTGTAGAGACACATTTCACTGCCCATTGCTGTACTGTATGGATGGACAAATAAAGAAAATTAAATTAAAATAAAATGAAAGTTTGACACCAGGTCTCAGCTTTAAAAACAAGCACATCAACAGCTTTGACTGAAGCTGTTGCCCCTGTAGTCATCAATAGCAGCGAGCTAACCTTACCTTCCCTATGTCTGCACTTGTGCCTTGTGGATTAGGGAAGTCTGTTGGTAATTCTGCAATATTGCTTGCTCGTCTTTGAAGTACTATCCACACAACCTTGTGGTGGATTAACCCCCCTTGTCAACATGACCTGGTGTGCAGATACAGCAAGTGTTAAAGTACAAACCGATTGAGATGTGCTTGGACGTGCCAAAGATGAAGTAGATGATGACTGGGTAGAAGGAGGAGTAAAGGCCAAAGACTGGGGGAACAGATGCTAACAGGGCATAGGCCATACCTGCAGGGATAGCAGAGGATAAATGTGAGTTCTTATAATACAGTAATAATTAGAAAACAGCTATAACAAGCAAGATACTGAGTAGCAGGGTAATGTACAACCAACAGACTGACATTTAAAATAAATTATAACATCTCTTTCCTCGTCTCTTCCACCTGTCTGCCCCTCACTGCGTCTCTACTGAACTGATCTCCTGAACCTCTATCCTCACCCTGCGGCAACTGCATGATCCCCACACTGATCCCAGAGATCAGGTCACCCAGGGCGTTTTCTCTGATGGAGTAACGAGGCAGCCACGATACAACAGGAACACTATCCAGCAGGCAGCTCTTTAACCTGGCACCGGAACATCTGAGATTGTCAGAGAGACAGACAGAGGAAAGAAGAGTAAGAAGGGAGGATAATATCAGCGTACATGTCAAGTCTGAACTCCAGGCTACTTGACTGATGTTGTTTTGACCTTGTTTTTGCCACTTTCGATGTTAACTTACTACATCAAGCTACCATAAAAGTTAATAGATAATTTTTTATCATCTCTGTCTTTCAACCTTACACTTACATGTTTGTTCCTGGAATAATTAAAGAACTAAACAGCATTCCTACATTTGGAAAGACATGACTTGCTGCTTTTGGCCTCAGACATAGATTTGGTCTTGACCCTGTTTGTGGATATCTATTTATACATTTGAACATGTTTTGACATTATTAAAGTATATGTTACTGACTTGTCAAGTGACTGTAGGTATGTTTATGCAAGTATTTATTTTGGACACAGACGACTCAAAGATACAATTTTACTGTGTAAAGAACCACATAAAAAACTTCTTCTTTTTCTGTTATTTCCAGGGATTTAAACCTAAAATGTGGACAAAAGTGGAACAGCTTTTAATGTGCACCCATATAATTGCATGTTGTACCTACCTGACCAAAGACCTTTTGACATGCACACCCCTGTACTGCTTTTGCAAGAAGATAATAACCAGTAGATAAAGCTGGACTTGTAACATACGTTGCTGAGTGTAATATGATGAGTGAAAAAGTCCTTGTTCATTTCATTTTGTTTATGCAATCAAAGGTCGGGGGTTCTAGCTTAAACTAAAATGTACAGGCAGAACACTGTACATTATTTAGTGCTTTGTTTGTTAAGAAATGTGGTGTATGAAGACTAAGTTACTCTGAGTGTAACCGCTGTGTTATAAGGTGCTGGGTGGCCTGCTGACTGTTTTCTAATTCACAATGAAAATAAATTGATTCACGCTGAGATTTTTTCTGTTTCTTGGACTTTGAATGTAAACAAGGTGCCAGTGTGCATAAAATGCATCAAAATACAGCTTGTTTATTAAAAAAAAAGTGTCAGGGGAGGAACCACCTGACAGAGGTCCTAGAACTACCCTGCGTACACCTGACTCATGCAGGGCTTCTGCAGCTGGATTTGCCTCTAGCAAAGATGAGTTAGAACAGCAGGTGTAGAAAGGTTGGATAGGCAATTTATTTACTATATATACTGATAAATAATATAATTTCAATCTGTCATTTTGCAAAAGTGGCCCACGGGCAAAGCAAGTCTAGATATAGAGAGTTGAGGTGCACAGTAGATTACATGTGGGGAACTTTACCTCATCGACTTTTTGACCTTCTCAGACAGAGGTGTTTTTGAGTCAGACTTTTCTGCTATCTCATCCACTGCTCCTTCATCCAGGATGTCCCTTTGCACACTGTAGCCCATGCGTCTCCTCTCTGCCATGGCTATGACTAGCTGCAACATAAACAAAAAAATAGCTTCTTTTCTTTCCAAATGCTGGCTCGGTTTTTAGCAGAAAATCTGTTTTTTCATCATAAACGCACGAAATACTGCAGATGTATTTTCAACAGTGTTTCCATTTTGTTAGAAAAGAATTAAAACTATAAAACAAAAAGCACTACATGTTAACACATCCATAAGATAAGGCACAATAACAGCTGTAAAACATAAAAACATACAATGTGTTAGTTTCATGTTCAATAATGTCCCTGATCACGATCTCTCTGGGACTGAACTTTTTGAAACTTTTGATAATAATTACCTTGTGTGTTCCAGCTGTATCAGAAAAATGTTTAATTATGTTGAAAATAGTTCCTGTACAAAACGCCCACAACCTACTGAAGCTCCGCGATGAACCGTGCAAGTTTCATGTAGGTTTTCAGAGGAGGTGATATAATGTTTTGTCCTCTATACTGATGTATTTTATCCAATCTTCCACTTCAGAGAAAACCGGTCCAACTCCAAGTCTATTTCTGGTCAGTGCTGTAATAACAATCTTCCACCTAAATTTAAAAAAAGGTTTCTTCAATCCTAAGACAGCACATCCCTCTTTATGAAGAATTAATCCTCCCTGTGTGCAGAGGTCCCTGGGCTTCAAATTGAATCTGCTGTAGAGTTTTCCATCAGATCCAAGTGCCTCCAAGTGGTACCAAATGACAAGTTGTGATTGCTTTTTGTTGCAGTCAACAGATGAAGGGAAGGTTTAATTTTAAAATCCACCACAGAGAGGCTTCTCTGACCAAATAGATAAGAAGATAAACCCTTGCAGATATACTTTCCGCTTTCTTCTCTGTCTCCTCTCTCCTTCACTTGTCTGAGGGAGACACTGGTCTCTGTCTATGTTGTGGTGCTGCTGCTGTGCCTTGAGACCTTGAAGAGAAATCTAATCTAAACTGGACATTGTTTTGGAGGGACGGGGCAAAGTTCTCAACCGTATGCTCAGTTGTTATAAAGAATGGTAACAAGCACAGAAGAAATCAGAGATGACCACGCATTGGTGATCATTTACAGAGTAAGTTCACTGATTTTGTACTTGCTGTCATTGCTTTTTAATTTATTCTGTCATCTTTTGCCTAAAGAAATTAGCTTGAGATGGTATTTACAGAATAAATAACCACAGGAAACGCAACAAATGGGAGTTCGGGTGAATCCAGTCAAAACTGCAAAACATACAATAATATATTCACTTCACACTAGATGGTCTTAGATGGTCTTACATGTGTTTTTGTCTTATCTTGTATCCTTGTGTGATTAGATTAGTCAGCCATTTCAGCTCAGTCAGTGTTGTTCTTGTTAATTTATGATTACTCCACAGGAGACTGAATGGGAGGGCCTGCTTGATCACTGGAAGAAAAGATACTGATTAACCAGGCAGGACAAACAATGTGCTGTCTTGCTGTGTGTTTTATAGGTAACAGGCATTGATCTTTTCCATGCTGAGTCACACTTTCGTCTCTCATTTCTTTCCTCCCGGTGAATCAGACAGCTGAAATTGTCAAATCCCTCAAACAAAACCCCCTACGTACATCTCCTTGGAGTTCCTTTTGTGTGCTGGGACTGTAACCCAGACGTTGATGAAACGGGTGAGTACACAAGGAAGTTTTTCACACTTTGTTATCCATTATTATCTTAATCCAAAACCCACATTGTGGTTCCCACAGAGGTCTAACAGATAAGGCACTGGCCTCCTAAGCCAGAGATTGTGCCTTTGAGTCCAAATTACTACAAGCAGCAACAGCAGAGTGGCGCAGCGGAAGCGTGCTGGGCCCATAACCCAGAGGTCGATGGATCGAAACCATCCTCTGCTAACAGTGTTTTACAGAGGGTTCTTCCATTGCTTTCTGACTGACACAGTAACGTGGATTAAACCTTCATTTGTAGCCACTGAATGTGTCAACAGTGTAAAGCTGGGTTCACACTGGACTGCTTGCTTTCGGCACCAATGTTAAACATGGCCACCTCGCAATCTGCAGTGAAAGTGTCAGTGTCTGGTCTATTTCTCCTGTGAGCCATGAGCTAATCTGGCTAGAAAACACACTGAAAATGTATTGTAAACAATACAGTATATATGAATGATCTGACTATGATAAATAACACACACACACACACACACACACACACACACACACACACACACACACACACTCATACTCAAGCAGAGACAGAGCTCTACATGTGATTTAAACCGAGCAGAGAGCAGAATCGCCAGCTGACCAGCGCAGAGAAATGTGGCTCTGGTTTGACCGACCAGGCAACTGCTAACGGGCAGCTACGTGACAATTAACAAATCGGGTGCTTCCTTGTCCAGTGTGAACCCGCCGTAATGCAACGAGAGTTAATAATCTGAAATCACAAAGTGATGAGTGCAGTTAAGTCTGGCTCTCTTTGGGTTATCTGGCTTTACTGAGCCCGGCACTGGTGATCTTGGATATCCGGCACTCAGAGCTGGTTGTTAACTGATGCTGTTTTCCTGGGTTTCCCAATGCAGCAACAAACACTTTTTTTTTTTTTTACAAAACTACAACTGCGATGGCATTAATGATGTACAAAACCGATCACTTTTGTTATTTCACTGGCAAGATTTAATAAAACATAAAAGCTGGCCTTCAGCAGCACTGTGCACACACTTCCACAACAGCAACTGATAGCTGAGCAACCCACTAATCCCATTTTGTGGTAGAACGCACTTACCAATTTAATGCTGGAAATGCATAATACAATTTATGCCTCTTCAAAAATTCAATAGTATTGTTGTACTGGAGCTCGGTCTTGGGCTTCAGACTGGTCTCAAGATCTTGAGGGTCTCGTCTCAAAATAGGTTGCATTTTCACTTGTATCGGTCTCAGACAAAGAGGACACAGGATTGTAATTCAAGACCAGCCAAGACCACAACTGCACTAAAATGCTGGCGCAAAAGAGTGTTGAAAATGATGGCTAACTTGATTTCAGCTACCTACTGATGTATTTGTTTGCTTAGAGAAAATTAAGGAAAATTACCACACATAAAATTCACTCTTGCAATTATTTTATCGTGACATTTCTCATGGTACACTTTTACATACACACGTATTTACAGTGTGGCAATAAAAGAGGTGAATGTAGAAGTAGAGAGGCCATGGTTTGCATGGTACACACTTTATCTTGAGTGTGTCATGCAGTGTGGGATTTGCACTGGTCTGATCATGGTCTTGAGTCAAGTCTCGCCCTGCCTTGGTCTTGGTTTTAAGTTGGTTTTTCCTCTTCTTTTGGTCGTGTCTTGGTCTCAATACACTCTGGCCTTGGTTATGACTTGCTCTCTGTATAGGTGGTTTTGACTACAACACTGAAAACTGATACAGTCACTCTCCACTCTTATGAATTTGGGATATAAACCACCTACCTACTGTGGGCGTCAGAAAAACAGACTTAGTTCAGGCCAAGGTTACCAGTGTGTTAGTCATTAGTGAGCTCACCCCAGGAATGTGCTGAAGAATCATCTTTAATCGACTGTTTTATAGTTGTAGTTTTTCCCTATTTTTCTGGACACATTTTGGTACAATGTCACAGATTTTGTCTCTGGAGTTTTACTCTGTCTCCATGTGTCTCCCTCTCCTCTTTCTAATTCTCTTGATGTCTTTGTTTTCTCTCTGTTACTGCCACAGTAGCATCAGGGGCCATCATTATCTTAATTCAAACTAATTAATTCAAACTAATTAATTTTAACTCATTTTGTTGCTTAATAGTTGTACTCACTGTTTGTCAATAGAACTGGTCAATTTGTTATGTGTGAAGCCCAAGTGGCAATCTCTTCTATTGCTTTCTGACTGGCACAGTAACATAGATTAAGTCTTCATTTGTAGACACTCTGAATGGGTCAACGAAGGAATCAAACCAGAGCTGATTATCTTAAATCATGAAGCAACTTCACTGTCGTTTGGCTCTCTTTGAGTTATCTGGCTTCACTAGGCCTAACGTAGGTGATCTTAGATAACTGTTATCAAAAAAGCCAATTATTATCTGGCTCTGTTAACACTGGGTTTCCCAATCCAGCAACGATCACTTTCATGTGAAAGAAGCTGAGCTGTTAATTATAACGCCAGGGCCACACCGCGCTGTGAATAGCCTTGAAGTGCCTAGAAGCGAAGCCAGTTTCTTTTCGGCGCGCCTGTTAACCGATTGTGTCATCCACACCGGCCGCGCAGCTCCGCAGCCGGCCCTGCAGCGATTGTTTCGGCGTCTGGTCTATTTTCTGCGCGAGCTGCGAGCGAATGTGTCAAGCCGGGCAGGAAGTCAAACAAAGGAACAACAACCGGTCACATCCGGTCAATTTTCAGAATAAAACAAATTTCAAAATAAAACACCCTGTTTGACAAATGCGATGTATATATGTGTGTGTGTTTATATACATATACTCATTACTAAGAAGTGGACATACATGTACAGTTGTTAGGAAAACATGGCGTATAATTTTATGAGGTTATTTACTTACCCATGATGGAAAAACAGCCCCAAATGTGACGGAGACAACAGATGGGAGTAGAAGTCTGATGTGAACGGGCTTGCGCGAGAATTTCGGTGTGCTGCGCTTCGCAGCACTTCATTGGCAGTGTGGCCCTAGGGTAAGTGTAACATGTCTGATATGTAACCTTTCCCCAGGTGGAGAGTATATGCTGCAAACCCTGGACTTAGGCCACACCCAAACTAATATGTTTTCATTTTAAAGTGCCGTTTCAAAACAAAAGTAATCTCCGTAGACATGAACATTTTAGATCCACATCAGAAATATGGCAACATATAAAAGTGGTACCAGAGGCAGTATCTACCAACAGAAGAAACCATGGCAATGAGACAGGGATACCCACAAAATGTATGTAGACCTAGTTCTAATGTTTTGGCTTGACTGATAAGACCCAATCGAGAAGCGAACGTGAGTGTCTGCGGCATCAATTTCAAAAGTTTCCGCCTGTCTAGACTAAAACACAACCTGGAGTTTTCAAATTAAAACAGGGTCAACAGCGTTTTCAAAGGTCTTTGGTTCAGTTATTTAAAAAGGCAGAGTATCGTGGACACTAGGCATAAACATAACAATAGTTTTTATAACAAATACTGTGTGGATGTGGATGTAGCCTTAGTATCTCAGGTATCAATATCTGAGGTTCTCCAAAATATCTTAGACCCAAGTTCTTACAGTTTAGTTTTGCTACAGGGTCACTTGGTTCTCTATGTTCACTTAATTCATTTAGATCGTTCAGCACAGATACTGGCAATAGCTGACTCAACATAACAGCAATAAGACCCCCACCTCACAAACACACATACGACCACTGACTTAGAAACACGATAGATAAAGTATATATTCGTAGAGGTCTTCCGTTCAGCTTCATTTCTGTGGTACACTTCCTTTTTTAAACTCAGGTATTAGTAGTATCCTGCTTGTGATTCAATAAAATGCTTCCTCTGTTTAACCAAATTGATTCAGTAAGCAGTTTTTACTACTCTTTGTTTCTCCCTGTGAACATTCCTTATTTCCTTTAAGGTTATTACTTTTAGGTATTCGTTTTAAATAATCAATCCTGACACAAAAGGGGACAAGGTCCAAGGCCTGATCATATTTTATGGTTGTAACTTGTTTATTTATGATTAAAAATGTGTGTAGTTTGATATGTCAGTAAATTTGACCAATTTTAGAAACAGTAACAAGCTAAGACGATGTTTATTAGGAAGTGCCTGTTTGAGGACATTAAGACTTAATTGTTGTCTCATTTGAGGACATTAATTGTCATTGATAATGTTTAATTTTTCATATTTATTGGGTCCTACTGATCCCAAATAGCTAAGAGGAATTAAAAATGCATACCAAAGTTCAAGTCTCAGGAGAATATATATAGATATCTGAGATCTTAGGAAAAAAAGCAAATAAAATTGATTCTTCTTTTGTTTCCTTGGGTTTAGTTCCTACCAGTCATCTTGGAACGGTACAATATCCAGATGTCAGTGTCCAGAAAAGATGTTGGAATCCACAAGCAGCCATGACAGTCCAGAAGGCCAACGAAGCAGCCCCACATTGTCAACAGAAACTACTCTTCCTAGAAGAAACAACAGATTTTTGTTTATATAGCTAGTAATTTACATAAACAGCCATTTCAAGTGTCACAATAATTTCTGAACTAAATTTTCTTTTTTTCTTTTTTTATCTCGTTTTCAAAATAATACAATTCTGGCCTTTTACGTTTTTACACCACATGAGACTTTAATTTAAATCAAACACAAAAAATCCCTTATGTGTTTTACTAAAGCTAGCACAACAGCTTTAAGCAATTAGCTAATGTAACATGCTGTACTTAGCTTAGCTTCCAGGGAGTGAGGGGGTAGACAGCTAATTGCAAAAAAACTTATTTACTTCACATCACACGAAATATTACATATACTGGCGGGATTTAGTTTACCATATTTCTCAAGAAAATTACACACAAACAATTCAATTCTATTACAACAAAATAGTAATGCTAACCAGCTAACTTCAACTCATCAGGATAATCCTCTTAATTGGAAACAAAGGTAAGATGGAGTTCGCCCTTCTCTCTCTTTGACAGCCATTTAACGTTCCAGCGTTGCAATGTTCCCTTACAATACCGCCAGCTCCACTCAGTGGTCCCTCTTGGACATCTTACATTGCAAATTTTTTGTTTTACTTTTCAGAAACTTGAATGAATTTCACACATAGATTGTCAAAGGTTTTATACATAGAGTTTACCCGCCTGGGCTGAGCGAGGGACACCGACGCCTCAAGTGCGTAGGAGGCGTTTATGGGGCATCTGTAATTCGGGCCTTCAGAACATAACCTTGGTGTCACCAGCAACATTGTTAGAACCATGAACATATAAATCTCAACATAATAACGTCCTGAGCCAGATTTGTATAGTTTCAAGTTGTACTGAGTATTTCCGTAAGCAGAGTGGCGCAGCGGAAGCGTGCTGGGCCCATAACCCAGAGGTCGATGGATCGAAACCATCCTCTGCTAAATTTATTTTCTCGGAGGTTCCCTTCTATTATTTTTCGGATGGACCCTGAAGGGGCTTTAAACTGAAGTGAAACAAACCGGAAGTACAAATGTCCGCCGCTGGTCGATTTTTTTCTAAATTTCTTTCCCTCTCCCTTTTTCTTTTAAATTGAGTTAGTTATTTATCATGTACAAATTTGTTTTTTTACATTGTAATGATGTTCAATAAAGGGGAGTGTTATAAACCATTATAAAATGTATTCATAAGAAGATAACAAAATAAGACAAAATAAATTAAAAAACATTAAAAGATAAATGCAAAAATAAACTTACAATGTTGATGATAATAGGAGCCACCATCAAGAGTCTTTTAAAATGGATTCCTATTTAAAACAAGCAATTTGCTTATCTGTTACTACTGTTAATAATAACAATATTTTTTTATAACCCTAAGAAGTGCTTTAAATGTAGTTTGACTAATCGTTTGTTTTGATGCAGAGGAGGCAGACTTCACTGTCAAAATAACGACTATCATCTGGTATTCAATAAAAAAGATAAATAAATAAGGTGTGATGTGTGCATTTTAGCATCTTGAAATCATGCTGCAGATGCAGAGAAGCATTATCCACCTGTGTCCTTTATAAAAGAAGCAATGATTATCCACATGGTGACTTTATTTGCTGACATTAAACCTGTAGCTGCCTTGGGTGTGTGTGTTTTTGGGGGACTCGTCAACAGAGGGCACTGGTTGTGGAAAAAGAAAGAAAATAAACTGCACTGATACAGGCAATATGACTGACACACTAACATGGATTGATGTCTTCTTTCTGCTGGAAATTAACCTTTCACTTCAGTTCTCTATGAAGTGGGTTAGTTGTCTTAATTTGTCTGGTTATGAACAAATGAAGAACATTTTTCACTGGATGTTGAGAATAACTTTTGATGGTCTTAATGTAGGTGTGTAAAACCAGCCTTCTATGTGTAGTATTTGACATAAGGGACTGTATGAAAATTATAGAGTGTGTAGTATAAGAGGCAGAAAAGGGGAGCACTGTGCGTTTTTCTTGTTGCTCAGGGGACGCTCTTAACTGTCTGTGGAGTGACACATGGGAATGTTTTGGGTGTGTTTACAAGTGCAACAGAACTCACTTCTGACCACACCCAGAGGTGAAACAGGTTTGAAACATTTAACCAGGTAGGGCAGTGAAACCAAGCAGCAACCTCCAGGCTGAAAAATTAAGCCAACACTAAAGTGCCAAAAGCTGCAGTTCTTTGAAACGGCCATTTGAGATTGGTTCCAGAAGTGAGTCAATCCCCAAAGACCCCCGTGTTAAAATGCTGAACTTTACAGCAGAAATAAACATGTTTACAGCCTGGTACAAATAATAGTTTTGGTCCCTAGAGCTAGTTTTCCCCCTTCATGACAACTGTACAGTGTGGATTTTTATATAACTCTCTTGCTTACATTTTATTAAGGCTTAAAATTATGCATGCATAATGCAGTGGGCCACTTTGAGAATCATGCTGTTTGTAGATAGTATCTTAGGCTTCTCAGTTAACCTTCTCTCCTGCACAGCGCCTGCCTCTCCTCCAAATATGGTAACGTCTGGCTCCAAAAAACAAGATGGCTACAGCTGAAATGCCTAACTCGAGGCTTCAAAGCGGGAGTCCACAAACCAATAGATTCAAGCCCCATCTTGGGTGACTGTGTTGGTTTTGCTCAAGTCTCTAATGCTTCATGTTTAGATCTGACACTACTATTTAATGGAAGTGTACATTTTCTTATTTCACAGAAAGTTTTTGATGTCCAACACAGTGTTTTTTTTCTTGCTTGCTTTTGATACCGCAGGTTTTCATGTTTGTAGATATATTTTTTTAAGTTAAGATGGCCACCTGTTTAAAGTTTTCTCTCACTTCATTTCACAGGGGACTGGTGTCTGGTGAGGTCTGATTGGATTTTAATTTCTGGAAAGTGTTTGTGGCAGCAGCGGGGCCAGACTGATAAAGCGAACAAAACAGAATGTTGAATTCACGTCATCAGGATGGTCTTACAAGGCTACAAATGTGTGTTTCCAGTGAGGAGAAAAATTCCTCTAAGATCTCTAAATGTGGCCTCTGGGTTTGTTGATAAAAGTCAAAAACAGCCTCTCAGCTTCTGAAGTTCTTTACAGCACTTTTTCTGCGTGTTTTAACCAGTGGCAGGCCAGTTCTGTTTCCTCAGCCAGTGAAACAAGACCTCCATTAAACGCAGCAGGGCATATTGTAAGCAGTGGACTTTTATGAACTTTGACCACCAAATTCATAGAATGACACACACAGCTGGCACCAGCTGTTTATGATTGTGTTTTATCAGTACGTGAGGGCTAAATATGACTCTTTAATATTAATTTAATCAGTTGGCAAACCACTCTTATCAGTAATGACTCTGTTGTAATACTGAATGTCTGGGACATACAGTAGCCAATAAATTTTGAAAAGCTTAATTGTGCATTACATTATTATCTTTTTGTTTTATTTGACATTTACTTAACCAAGATGGTTTCTTGACATCTAAATATGTTCAAGATTTATGGCATAAATGGCAGCATAATTATGTTAGAGCCAACATTCACTGGTTGAAAAAAAAAAACGAAGGAAAGGAGGGAAACATATAAGACACTGGAACACATGAATACAAGAAAAAGGGGAGACAAATGTTGTTTTAACCTATTGTTTAAAAAAAAAATACAGAAGGAGGGACAGCCACATATTTTCTGTCATTGTCACTGTCTGCCTCTGTCACTTACAGTAAACTAACAATGTCATTGTCACTTAATCCAAGACACACAGTTCCTTACAGGACAGGATAGAGACTGACTTAATTATCAAAACAAAGTCAACTCCTATCTTTGGTATGTAGCGAAAGGAGTGTAGACCTATTTTGTTGTGTGCACATGTTATTGTGTAACTGTAAGAAGCCACCATTCCAGAGACTGAGCAACTTCAGTCTTTACGAAGTTATTGCCCAACACAGATTTAATTATTGCTCAACACAGATTTAGTTACTGCGCTGAGGTGGATGATGAATTAATTTGGAAATAGTTTGTTTACTGCTTACAGAGCCATAGCTGCTCATGTTTTACTCTCTATTGACTCTCCGCAATTTGTGTTATTGTAGCCCCAGTGGCCTAATGGATAAGGCACTGGCCTCCTAAGCCAGGGATTGTGGGTTCGAGTCCCATCTGGGGTGGTGGACAGTGGCATGATACTATAGATGTGCACTGGGCTTATAACCCAGCAGACAATGGCCCATGCCTGTCCTGTGCTAATTGTGTTTTACAGAGGCTGCTCTCTGACTGACATGGAGTACACCAACACAGTCACTTGTAATGTATCAATGATTTAATGATCTGAAATAATGTCTCTCTCTGTGTTATCTGGCTTCACTGAGCCTAACATTGGTGAGCTTTGATAATTGGTATTACGAAGCTGGTAATTAACAGCCTTTGTCAACTCCAGGTTTTCAGATCGGGTTATGCACGCATTCATGTGAAAAAAGCAGACTTGATTACAAACAATATCCTTAATACCATGAATAAAGTACTTAAAGGGCCATTTTACCACAAAATCAAAAACACATACTTACCAGTGGTGCTAGTTATCAATCTATATTATTTTGGTGTGAGTTGGACATGTCGCCTGTAGAGGTGTTTGCCTTCTCTTGAATTCAAAGGAACTAGATGGTGCTTGTCTTGTGTTTTTTTATTTTTGGGTGAACTGCCCCTTTAATATAACATTGGCCTCCTCAGCTGGGGATTGTAGGTTCGAGTCCCATCGCAGCAAAAGCGAGCTGGGCCCAGAGCTCTGCTAACAGCGTTCTATTGGCAGCTCGGCAGTCTTATACTTCATGATAAAGAGGTCAGTAATGATGGAAACTGGGAAACAATTACATTTATTGTTAAGAAATGTTTGAGAAGTGTACACATATACATATTGTAAAAAGTGTTGATGGCTTTCTTTCAAAATAAGAGTAAGTTTGTTTATTGATTGTTCTGACTGTCATCTTAAAACCTTTATACTATCACCCCGGGATGCTTCTTTCTGCCCTCTCGTTACAGTGAGATGACGTAACTGTCCTGTAATTTACATTCAAAAGCAGAAATGGTGTAGGTTCAGCATTCACTTGTGTATGGACTGATTTCCTGTGAAGAGATAGAAAAAAAACATGAATATTTCTTGGAATTTTATGGCACACTTCATATTTAACAAGATATCAGGTAAAAGCATTAAAGGAGCACTCCATTGATTTTGCATGGCACTTGTCAGACTCATGACAGACACTTTAAAAGTAGGATAAAACTTGATGCAGCACAACCAGAGATATCATCTTTTTATCCCTTTAATCAAATCTGGTGCCTACATCACCCACAATGACACTTGACCTACACCATTTCATTCAGAGATTCATGTCCATTATACTAGTGGCTGCTAATGCATCCTCGAGCTGGTAGTCTTTAGCAGAGATGAGGAGCGTGCTGCACACATCTGGTAAGATCACTTCTCTCTAACTCTACACCTCCAGATATTTTTCATATTCTAACTTGTGGTCTTCAGCACCAGCCGACGCTGAGTCAAGTGACATCATTTGAATACATTTTTGAGATTTTAGGCAGCTCCCCAAAACTTTGATGTGTAAAATCAGTGGATTTCCCCTTTAATGTGCCTTCAGAAAAATAATAGAAAACTCCCGGACCAGTTCAACAAAACAGATGCATTATATAAATCTAAAAAGATTTGTGGCCTTAGGGCTCACACTCCATCCTGTAGGAAATACATCTCAGCTGCTAATATATGATTTTTTTTTCTAAGTGTGTCTCATGAAATCATGACTTTGGAAGTGAGACAATGTGTACCTCCAGGGGCTTGGGCAGGATACTGAGGCAGCGCTGGACAGCATGATGGACCGATGGGAAGAGACAGGAGCTGGGCAGACTGTTTGGTATACAGCCCTGGGTTTGGAGCTGGGATAAAACTCTCTCTGTTGACATACAGAGAGCATCAGGATTGCACGCTATGTTTTAATTTTAAAGTTTCAGATATTTATTTCATTCAGATGGTCAGCCTGTCAGTTTTAACGACAAAAACATGTTACTGTAGCTACATGAAGTTCAGAAAGAAAAATGTTTCAAGCAGAGCTACAGTATGGGCGGGATGGTGGGAAACTGACCTGTGGAAACAGTAACAGCCGGATGCTAGACAAATAATGTGTGTGTGAGTGAGTGAGTGAGTGAGTGAATGAATGTGTGAGAAAGACATAGAGGAGTCACTGGTGAGTATGAAACATGAAGCTGACCTGGGCACGCTGCCAGAAACACACTGACACCCTGGACTTCCAAGTCTTCTACAACCTGGTGAATACACACACACACACACACACACACACACACAATACATCATGTAAAGCTTTTCTTTACGCATGTAGTCATGTTCAAGCACATGTTGACTTTGTGAGGCTGATGGATGAATTTTTTTTATCATTAAGGTCAAAGAGGAGGACGAGATAACAAAGTCATATCAGTATGACTGGTAACTCATCTACACAAGTGTAAGAGGGTGTGTCTCATATTTTCATTATGTAACACGTGATTAGCGGACATGTAGTCTAGCCGTAATTAATAATTTCTTGTGAATGTCTTTGATCAGCAGCAGTAGGGAGTCAGTGTGAGGACAGCCAAACACTATAGCAGTTTACTGATAAGAAGAAAGTGCAGACTTGGCAGGTTTAGAGCTGGCAGCGCAGGACTGGTATCCATTCAAACCAACCTACGCTGATGTTCCCATCTTAACAGATCAAATTAAACTGCAACATTTAGTCAAGGCTAAAAATAACCTACAAGTAGTGTGCTTCACTGTTTGTTTGTTTTTCAGGAATTTTACTGGATACACATAAAGGCAGATTATATTTAACATTATCAACGAATATGTATAACTTTCATTCAGAACTTTTTTGTTGCATGAGAGATTATGTGTGTTAAATTCCTGGTATGGACGCAGTGGTGCCCCCATAGGAGTGGGGAGATGGGGCCTCTGAAAATCTTGTGGTGGCATGCCAAAAGCAAAAGCCATAACTGGTATAAGACTTGTAGGTACTCATCGAATCCATTTTCATTTAGATGTCTTGAGGTGAGAGTTGGGGACCCCTTTGAAAATGACCATGCCAGTTGTTCTCTCGCCAAAATCTTTGTTGCCAAAAGTTTGTAGCGTTATTTACCCAGCTTTTCAACAAGCTATGCTGACATGAAGGGTACCAGTGGATATCTTAGGTTGTCTAGTTTCACATGATACCAACGTACTAACTTTGTGATAATTGTATCAGATACATCAGTTGTATGTACCCTCCTTTGGGGGCACCACTGTATGGATTACAGAAGAAACAGTCAGTGTGAGAAGTGAATGACAGACATCTCAGACAAAGAATAGAGCACCACCTGCAGAAACTCAAAGTTAACTCCAGCTCAAGATGCCAGAGCAGCACCTACACTATTAGACTGACAGACCATCTCTCGGCAGCATGGTGCAGAATCCCCACACTGACGACATGCCACGCAACAAAATAAAGAATGAAAATCAATAATTTATGCGATGGTGTCTGTGTTCAGCTTAAGTGAAACTGAAGATGAACTCCAGTTAGTTCTGTTTCCTCACCTTGCAAAGTGCTGGCATGGCCACAGAGTCCATGAAGGTGACCGAGCTGAGATCCAGAACCAAGCAATGAGTGTGTGTCGATGTTTGGGCTGAGGAGGAGGAGGATGTGTGGACTCCAGCTGGGTTTTCCTTCTGATCACAACTCACTGTCTGGATGTGGTGGGGAAAAGTTACAGCATAGAAAATTAGTTTTATAATGTTTCCGTTGCCATGTAACCCGTTGTGTATTGGAAAATTCCTTGCACAATTTTTCTATCCCAACCAGAGCGATCAAAACACAAAGACAAACACACACTCCAGCTGCATACACATGGGTGTTAGCATAAATCTCATGAAATAATGTTCACATATTGATGGACTTCATGTGGAAGGACTGCGCCCTACATGTGAAGATGAACTGTGGGGCTGATGCTCATCTGCATTCATTCATTCTCCTAATTACAATTATACTGTAACCCCATCTCACAATCTTAGAACCTTTCACCCAAAATCAGCTCTTATTTCAGTGATGCTAATTTTCCTCTCTTCTTTTTCTCCATCTCCACTGTGTGTGTGTGTGTGTGGGTGTGTGTGTGTGTGTGTGTGTGTTGGCACCTGTCTGATCTGTGTGAAGACCACTTCAGAGCTGGCAAAGTAAATAGGACTGGAAAAGGAGAGTATAGTCACTCCAGGAACTCGCTTTGCCTGTTAAAAAAACAAAACACACACACACACACACACACCAGAGAAACACACACGTAACATTGTGAAGTTCCTCTACTTTACAACTTGGCACAACAGTGACACCCTGGACAGAGCATCAAAACTTACAACAGCTTATTGTAACTGGTGGATCAAGAAACACAGTTCTGCTGTTATATTTATTTACTTATTAATTGATTCAAAATATCTTTTCATTATCTAAAGAAATAGAGAACACAGTTGACTCAAGCTCCAAAATTTTTCACCAATGTACCATTCAGTATTAGATCTGAATGAATAATTATAAATTAAACATTTACGTAGGACTTTTTCACATAATTTTTTACTATGGGGCGCCCAGTGGCTCAGTGGGCAGAGCAGGATCCCCATGCACAAGGGGTGTGTCCCTGCTGCAGCGGCCATGGACTCAACTCTGGCCTGTGGCCCCTCGCTGCATGTCATTCTCCCACTTTCACACTTAATATCTATCCTATCAATTAAAGGCAACGCCCCCCCCCCCAAAATAATCTTTAAAAACACTATGAAATTTAATCACACAGAGATGAAAACATTATCAGAAGTCCAACAACGGGATGCTCCTCTGTAGGGAAACTCTCCCCTTGCTTGTCATTGTATTTCAGTTTTCTTGGCTTGAAGCTAAAGGTCACAGATGTTTTCATATATTTTTGGACATACTGATCACAATTTCAGATAAAGAGACGAGATTTAGGAGGAAATGTTTAAGTTAAAGTATTGTCGCTGGTCCTGGACAGCGTTGTTGCAGTAAATATTTTATGTGTTTTTCTTCAACTGTTTTTAGAACTGTGTCCAAGATGCCTTGAGACCTTTGGGGACAATCAATTAGGCAAACCATCCCAGCAAAAACTTGTATTTTAATCTCGAAGATGTTGCCCACTGCCTGATTCTGAAACTACACTGCAGCATTTTAAAGGTACGTATGTAAAGTGTTACTCACCAAAATGCATTACCTGTGTTCTTGACGCCCAACAAACAATTTAAGTGCATTTTCTTTCTCAAATAGTAACTTAATTTTCAGCTGTTTAAACCTTGTTTTTTCATAAAGTTAACAATGTTTACGCTATTTCAATGGCACAAACCCAAAGATAATTTGCTGCATTTGGAGAAAAAAAGTTTAAAATTTTGGAACACACCATAAACCAGTTTGCTAAACATCTACTTCAGAGACACTAAAGATCTTCAGTTTTAGATAACTAATCTGGCTCTTCAGTGGGGGATTCAAAAAGAAATAGTATATCCAGAGTGAATTCACAAAGTGGAACTTGTACAAAGACATCCACGGCATACACCATCACTAACGCATGACAGATACTTGACAAAGTACACAGAGGGGAGTGATGCAGCAACCATCAGTGTAACAGATTGAGGAGAGAATCAAGTGGAGGGAAAAGAGAACGAGAAGTTGACAGAAATTCACTGATGCTCGGAGCCCAGACAGATTGCCTTTGGTGACAGTTTGGTGTTTTGATGTGTGACAGATGGTGCTTTTCAGCCAGGGATGTATTTTTAGTGTGTTTTGGCTGCGTGACAGTTGTATCGTTCAGAGTGGTTCATTAAGTTCATAAGAGACTGACCTTCACTGAAGGATTTGATGTCTTTCTCAGTGTCAGTTTACTCATGGGGGACACTGTTAATTAATGGCCTGCTACATAAACACCTACATAAATCATCTCCAAACCTGTATTATAATCAACTTTAAGATAAACATATCATTTCAAATGCCAAACTGGCATTTATTCAGATTGACACTGATCAAGATCCTGTACATTTTTATCAAATGCTTGGTGTATTGGTCTGTATTTGCACTGCAGATGCTGCGATCCGGTTAAAACAGGGGTGTGTTTCATGCCAGATATGAGACAGGCGTGGAGAATTCATTATTTACCGTGTTTCACATTTGATGACATTTTAGATATGCCAGTCCACAGCCTGCAATTAGCTAAGATCACTGTGAGTCACGTAAGGTCAGTGTAATTCTTCTTTGCATCAGTAAAGCATCATCAGGAGTTGGGCAGATGATGCCTTGGCATACTGAAAGCGTATAATGGCCTGCTGCCTAATTATGAACAATTACATTGTTAAATTCATGCAGTGATACACCATTTTGTAGTTAAATTAGACAGACACTCTTTGGTCTTTTGAACTTTTCGCTGCATTAACTTTCTTTGGTGTCAAAGGTGTGTGCCCCTAATTATCCTATTATTACTTTACATACGAATATATTATTATGGAAGTCATTTATAGTTGTATGATTTTGGCATATCAGTTCCAGTGGGTGCTAGCTGCATGCAGACGGGCACCAGTGTGCAGAAAGTTTTTTAACACAGAGCAGTCAGTATGGCACTGCATCGTGTTTTCTCTATTGCAAGGGCACCCTTGAAGGCATTTTATCACATATTCTCCACTAGAACAGCACCCTAGAGGGCACTTTATCATATTTTTCACACTGGAGGGCATTTTATTGCAATTTCTTACATATTAGGCCATCCTAGAGGGCACAATATTACATTTTCTCCACTAAAAAGGCATCCTGAAAGGGACTTTATCACATTTTCCTGCATACTAGGCCAACCTAGAGGGCACTTTATCACATCTTCTCAACTAGAAGGGTAATTTAGACAGCATTTTATAGCAGTTTCTCCACTGGATGGGCACCATAAATGGTACTTTATTACATTTTCTCAACTGAATAGGCAGCCTAGAGCACACTTGATCACATTTTCTTCCCTAGAAGAGCAGTCAAGAAGGCACATTTTCTTGCACACTGGGCTGACATAGAGGGCACTTTATGCCATTTTCTCTACTAAAAAGGTATCCTGAAATTGACTTTATCACATTTGTTTGCATATTGGACCACTGTAGGGAACACTTTATCAATCTTCTCAATTCAAAGGGCACTCTAGAGAGCATTTTATAACATTTTCTCCACTGAATGCACCCTAGGGCGCACTCTATCACATTTTGTTCCCTAGAAGAGCAGCCTAGAGGGCACTTAATCAGATTTTCTTGAGGGCACTTTATCACATTTCACCACTGGAGGGCCAACCCAGATGGCACTTTATCACAATTTCTCCACTGGAAAGGGATTCTGGAGGGGGACTTTATCATATTTTCTTGCATACTGGGCCACCGTACAGGGCACTATATCACATCTTCTCAACTGGAAGGGCACTTAGAAAGCATTTTATGACATTTACTCCACTGGATGGCACTATAGATGGTATTTTGTCACATTTTGTCAACTGGACTGGCAGCCTAGGGCGCACTTGATCACATTTTCTTCCATAGAAAAGCAGCCTAGAAAGCACTTCATTACATTTTCTTGCATATTGGGCCACCATAGAGGGCAGTTTATCACATTTTCTCCACTAAAAAGACATCCTAAAAGGGAATTTATCACATTTTCTTGCATATTGAGCTACCATAAAGGGCACTTGATCACATCTTCTCAGTGGAAGGGTACTCTAGAGAGCATTTCATAACATTTTCTCTACTGAATTGGCACCCTAGAGCACACATTATCACATTTTCTTCCTCAGAAGAGCAGCCTAGAAGGCACATTTTCTTGCATATCGGGCCACCGTAGAGGGCACTTTATCACATTTCACCACTGGAGGGGCAACCCAGATGGCACTTTATCATGTTTGCTCAACTGGCAGGGTGTCCTGGGGCACTTTGTCATGTTCATATTGGACCACCGTAGAGGGCACTTTATCAGATTTGATCTATCACAGAGGCATTCTGAGTCCACCAGTGATGATCAGTACAGCTGTATGGTTATATTTCCAACTGTTACCAAGAACTAGCCCTTTTATGACACTGAGCTCCAGTAAGCAACATTGTTTTGGTATAATTGAGTAAAAATTTTATAATATCCTCTAAGCATAATGTAAATCAAGTGGTCTGAGACAAACAATAGGTTTCTGCACCTCACCATGGCTCTGTGTTCAGCCTCTAAAGAATCAGTATCGTGCCGATGTGCATCAACCAATCTAAGGTCAGCTCAGACCACTGCGTTCCTATTGGCTGTTCTACTGCATATGCGCGTTCCCGTGCCGCTGGCAGAAGGGGAGAGCAAGCGGCAATGGCGAACAGTGCACCATGTAAAATAGCTATTCCAGCATTGGCTACAACTGCCTACATTGCTAAACAACCCAAAAAAAGGAAGACAGAACTCGGTTCCCCGGAGCCCCGGAGGGAGGGGAAGGGTGAGGTGGGGCCAGGCCCGGCCGGAGGGCGCGAGGGTCGGCTGTGGGAGCGGAGCCGAGGGCTCTCCGTGGAGAGCGAGAGCCGAGCCTTGGGAGTATGTGCGGGTCCGCGAGGGAGGGATAGGGCAGGCTGCTGCGTGGTGAGGGAGAGCCGAGGCTCTCAGAGAGGGCGAAATAGAACATAATAATAAATATACCACAAAATACCTCCATGCCGCTTGTCCGTAGTGATCCAAGTGTCCTGAAGCCCCAACATAAGAAGTTGTTTGGAAAAACATCATTTGAACTTTTTTAGCCTCATTGTAGCCTGTAGCGCTGACTGCCTCTCTGGGCACTGCGTTCACGTGTGCGCACTTGCATGAGACCGTGAGACATGGGCACTGCCTTCACGTGTGTGTGCTTGCTTTCACTGGTCTCACGCTGGCTGGTTGGTGCAGCCTGGACCCAAATGTTTGTGTTGCCATTTGCGGAGCCTTGGTGCCTACAGAGACCGGACTTTTTCACAGCATATTCAGAGGACATGTAGCTAGCAGATCGTGAGATGTTTGCTGTATGTGACATATGACTTGACTTGTGACTTGCTTGACCTGAGCAATGACTCGATTTGACTTGCTTGACTTATAGCAGGGACTTGACTTCACTTGCTTGATTCTCACCGTAACTAACTTGGGACTTGCTTGAGACTTGAAGGTAAAGACTTGAGACTTGCTTGCGACTTGCACATGTGTGACTTTCCCCCATGTCTGCATACGGTAC